GGATCTCAGTCCAGAGGCGGAGCACCCAATTTTAAGGAACTTCCGCAATAAGTATACTTGGTGAAAATTTCGAAATGGTATAAAGACGCAATATTTGGATCATATGTTGTTGAGCACATTCAAAAACTATTCCCAAAATTTCAAGTACCTTGTCCACCCCATTTTCGGGATATACATCGTCAAAAATGGAAAAAACACAAAAATTGAATGTTTGGCGATGCATATCTCAAAAATGGGGTGGACCAGGGACTTGAAATTTTGGGAATATCTTTTCAATGTGGTCAACAAAATATGATCCAAATATTGCGTCTTTATACCATTTCGAAATTTTCACCAAGTATACTTACTGCGGAAGTACCTTAGATTGTCTTCATTCGTGAGCGCCTAATGTCTACAAGCATGTCCACCATTCCAAGACTGCTGAAAACGTGCCCAATGATTTTGTCTCTTGACTCAACTAAGCCACCATTAAACCTTGGACTAAGGATGAAGCACCAAAGCATTTCCAAGCATTTCTACCACTCTGAGACTCCTGGAGTCATGTCCAATGGCCCTGCCTCTTGACACGACTGAGCCTCTGAAATTTTGACTACACGTGGAGCACCAAATCTTTGGTTTGTCTCACTGAATAGCACCTAATTTGGCGAATTCACCGTACCCATATGCCTATCCCCCCTACACTTCTTTCATCCACATTGGTTCCTTTCAAATCGTTCCGTTTTTGTAAAAAAAAAAAACATTTTTCTGGAGTTTTCTCTCCAGTATCCGGAAGCACGTAAAAAGCGCCTTATTATCCCCTAGGTTTGATTTTTTAAATCGTTCTTTTCCCCACTTTTCTCGCTAACTTGATGCTCATATTTAAAAAACACAATTTTTAGAAAATCTATTAGAGCACGAAAAAAAAAACTGAGCACCAAAAAAGCGTCTAATTTTGCATATATTTTGGTCCCGATTGGAGCACCTATGACTGTCAACTTGACGGACCTGTAATTTTCCCGTTGCCAAGCAGAATAACAAAAAATTGTCAAATTTACCACGATAACGCCGAATACCACAATTCTATTTATCGAAATGGTGATGGGGCAAATAATCCGCCGAATACCCCTCGAGCTTCCAAATAAATCGGAGTATTTCCCTCAAACTTCCCTGCATACAAACGAATGCGTCAAGTTTCGCAGAAAATTCCCTCGCACAAGCGCTCGTGATTTCTTCAACCTGCGAAACTTGACATATTCGTTTGTATGCAACGAAGTTATCAGAAAATGCCCGATCATTTTGAAACTCTCGGGGTATTATACCCGATAATTCATTGGAGATTGTAAAGGGAGGAATTGGGACTCCTGAAACAATTCTCATTGATTAGATGGGAGTGGAAAAGTCCGCCCACACCCCAACGAAAATTCAAATAACCCAATTTGGAAGGGGATGGAGTAATCCTGAAACAGTGGGCCTGATGAGTTTGGAGATGGAAACTCTGGACTCAAGGTCTACCATTGGTCCAGAGTCTAACATCCATGAGTTTCAGCGGTCACATCCTCAGTGCGGGTTATAAAACTACTTGCACTCTGGGTTTTCCTCAGTGCGAGTGTGGCTTTCTGCTAAGTTCGAAATCGAACATTTGATCGACCCTCTTGGGCGATTTTTCTTTAAGAGTTTTATTACTCTTTCTTTTAGTAGAGTCTTGTCACTCGAGTCTTTTTTATCAAGTCGATAAAAACTTATTCTTAATATTTAAATTTTGCGTAGTTCTCATAAGAGAAAATTAGTAATTTGTGAAACGTTTGTGAAATTATCTCATTTGGATTAGGAGTCAACCAAAACATTTGTAAGTTGAAATTCTTTCTTGTATTTCTTTCAAAGATTTTTTTTTGTTTAAATATAGACTCGTAAGAGTCAACTTTATTAGAATCCAATTTTCTTGTTCATTCAAACACCTTGTCTCTTCCCAAAACAAATCTTCCCTTAAATTAATTTCTCTTGGAGAATTTATAGGTGAGTTTAAATAAAACGGGTTAGTTGCATTTGAAGCAGATTTTTTGGCCAAAATATTTGAGCAGAAAATTTTAAATGGACGTCAAATAAAAGCACATATTTCCTGGAATATGTCCAGCGATGCTAGGGTCCGAGGAACCCGTTTTGCCCTACCCTCATTTGGCCCCCATTTGACGTTCTTGAAAATTGGGGGGAAATTCCGGAAAAATGAAATTACTTTCTTGCAGAAAATTATCCCGTATTTAATTCTTCCCCATTGTGCACGAATTATCCCGATTCAACCCCATTGATCTGCTAGCTCAACACCCCAAACTCAAGAATCTATTTTTTTGGCCAAAAAATTTAAGCAGAAAATTTTGAATGGACGTCAAATGTAAGCACATATTTCCTCGTACATGTCCAGCTATGCTAGGGTCCGAGGAACCCGTTTTGCCCCGACCCTCATTTGGCCCCCATTTGACGTCTGAAAATTGGGGAAAATTCAGGAAAAATGAAATTACATTCAAGCAGAAAATTAGCCCGTATTTAATTCTTTCCCATTGTGCACGAATTATCCCGATCCGACCCCATTGGTCTGCTAGCTCAGCACCCCAAACTCAAAAATCGATTTTTTGGTCAAAATATTTGAGCAGAAAATTGAATTTTTCTGCAGAAAAAAAGCCCTTAAAAAGCCCGTATTTTTTAGATATTTGCCGACCCGATCTGATGACCCTGGCCCTGCTAACGTCACGGGGCTTGCAAAACATCAATCAATATCGCTTGACTCAAACGGGTTCACGCAATTGTCCCAAAAAAACAAAATGAAAAAAAAAAGAAAATCAAGCAGTAAAAACAACAACTCAAACCAACTCAAAGTATTTACCCGAATTCGTCCCAAAAAATCAAAATATCCAGAAAAATTCATCCATCAAACCTCAACACAAATAAACAATCAACAACTCGCAATCCTATTTACTAAAGATGAAAGAAACGTGAAGTTGTTTTATATCGAAATATCTCAAAACTGCCTGACCGCTAATCCTCAATTTTGATTGGTCAGTGAGTCACGTGAAGTAGTCGCTGAAAAAAATCCCCGGTATTTTCAAATTCTTCAAATGGCAAAATTTTTTTCTGCGTCATATTTTTCATTTTTTCATGTGTGAAGTTCATTTTTATATCAAAACATATCTAAATTGCCTAATTATTGATCATGAGAAAAAAACAGTATAAATTATTCTTCACTTCCCAAATTTTAATTTTTTCATATTTATTGTGACGTGAGAGGTTTTCTACCTCCCTTAATTGAGTCGCCAGTCGACTCAAAAACTATTCCTCAACTAGCTACGATCAGAGCTCACGCGGATTTCTCTCAAGATCTAACGTGACGCGACTAGGATAGGATTTGATTAGGTATTCTTCGTATAAAACAATCGAGCACCACTGTTACATTAATAATTNCTCAACTAGCTACGGTCAGAGCTCACGCGGATTTCTCTCAAGATCTAACGTGACGCGACTAGGATAGGATTTGATTAGGTATTCTTCGTATAAAACAATCGAGCACCACTGTTACATTAATAATTGACAGTATATTGAATAGATAATTGATAGGTAAAGTATAAAATCAACTGTTAAATGGGTTCGGTTTCGTCGCGGATCTACTATAGATTTTTGGCTAAGAGAGGACGTCCGTCCATCTTCAACTCCTGCCGTACTCTGCTCTATTCCAAAGCTTCAAAGTCGTTGCTGACGGAAAATGCTAAATAAGTGTTCTCACGGTTTTTCTAACTAACACGGCCATATGTTCATCACTGACAATGGCTAAGACAATCAAACAGCTCTATTCTGAGAAGCTGGAGTCAGGTGTCACCGTGAGACTGCTTATTGAGCATTTTGGACTTTTTCCATCTAGAAAATATTAATTGAATAAAATCGACGTGTGAATATCTCCACACGTCACATTATCATACGCAAAAATGATCAATTCTTGCTTCTCAGACTTTCATACATAAATCCTAAATTCTACAAAATTCATGAAAATTCTTCGGTTTCCCAAATAATTCGAGAAAAATCTTTGAAGAGCTACGGTTATCTGGAAAAGTGGAATTTTCCAAAGAATTCAAGAAATTTTTTCAGTTTTCTGGGAAATTAATTCATAACCCTCCCCTCATTTTTCAACAATTACAGATTTTAATCAGATTATTTTTGAAAGTAAAAAAAAAGAAGTAATCGAAGATTAAAAATGATTCATTGGTGTTTCACTCTTCATTCTCTTAATTCTCTTTAAGTCATTATCAATATTTATAAAACATCTAGGAATATATGAAGTTTAATAAATTAGATTTCTGCATTGTCACAACAAAAAGATAAGCGCGCGCGAAAGCGCATTATAATGAGAAAAGCGATAACACACGCAATAGTAAATGGAGATGAATGAGCGAGGAAATTGTTCTTTTATTCACTTTTATTATTTCATAAAAAAATAGTACATTATGTCATCAGATAATACTTTTATCGCCGTGTGACATACAATATTTTTTCATTGGGCCCGAAAACCGCGACCGCGAATCGCGGTTTATCGGGCCTAATGACATAACATTTTCTTCACAAAAGACGGGATATTTATATAGCGTTCCACCTCTTGTAACGTGACAAAATATTATTGGAAAGGATTTTGGAGTAGGTAAAAGGGAAACCAGGATGATTCTCGACTCATCTCCCCTTCAGAGAAATACCTCAGAGCTATTCTCAAATAAAATGGAGAAAGTAAAAGAAACATAGAAACATAAATTTTAAAAATAAACCTTTGTAAACCTTTTTTTATACCAAATTTGATGATTCCCGTCTCCGAGATTTTCTTTGAGAGATTTTGTCCGGGAAATTTCAAAAACGGTGAATTTTGTCCGGGGGATTTTGTGTGGGATGGAAGATTCCGACTACCCTAATCACCATACATCGTATAATGTTTGATGTAATAATAACCTCATTTTACAGTCGACGACGCATTGAAAAAGAGTCAAGATATTTACCGTCTTGGTGAAGAGTGTTTACATTTGCATTTGAATGTGTTGTTAGTGAGGACGGCGTGTCATCCTCTGCGACTCCCATTGTTGCTGTAGGTGTTTGATGATGTTGCGTCTCTAACTCTGTAAGTTCCTCACACCTGAATCAAACATTCGAAATTATTTTTTATTGACGAGAGAATGAATCAAGTGAAATCATACTGCAGTGAATTTTACTGCAATAAATGAGAAGATGTGTCAGTGCGGTAGGTTATTAGTCGCTCCCTGCGCTCGCTCGCATATAGGGTGCGTTGATATACAAAATTAGACGATCGCTCGCGATGTCAGCTCGATGAAGTTGAGAAGCCAGGGGCTCTGACCCGCATGGTGACTATGCCAAAATTACCTGCTTTTTACTTGCTTTTTTTCTGCGCAAAGAAAAGAAATTGCTCCTTTTTTCCATAAGAAAAATCATTCATAATAAATTGGAGGTCGAGCTAAACGGCCAAATTTTACAGATAAACGCACGCAAATAACCGTGTTTGTCATTCGTATTATGTAAAAATCATGCATTGCCGAAGATTTATGCCAAATTTTTCCGTTTCATGGTTTCGCATCACGTCCATAGGGTTTGCATCGTGCGACAGCCCTGCATGATCACCTTCTGCGGGCAGCTTTGTGAAGTTGACATCGAAGTTGAATAAAAAAATTGCATTTTTTTCCCATTAACCCCCCGTTTCTTGAGGCATATTGTCCCTCTTATATAGGGTCGGCTCAAATTCAGTGATTTTTATAACTTTTCTGTCGCGAGGCAGGTGATTTCTGAGACTTGTCATGTCTGTTATTTGGGCAGTTTGTATCTGAGCCAATCCCTCCCTTGTAGTCCGTAAGTTAGGGGGGTTTTTGCACACATTTTAGGTCGCGATGATTTTTTCATTGGATTCTAGGTTTTTTCGAACTGCTGAATCCAAATATGAAGGTCCGCGGCTCGAATTCCTGTGAGTTTTTTTATTATTAACAATTTTTTAATAAATAATTGAAAAATCGAATTTTCGGGTCGGGAAAATTTTTTTTCTGTAAAATATACGCCATTTTAAGGGGGGTATATCCTGAGCCATTTTTTCGTATTTGCAACGGTTCCATCCATAAAAAATCATAAACAAATAATTTTTCTAGGTATTTTCGAAAATATTGATTTTTTTTTCGTATTTCACGTTGTTGCATGAGTTATTTATATGATACATCATGAATCATGGAGGAAAAGACTCAAATTATAGTAAATTAGTCATTTTTCAATAATTTGTTTAAATAAAAAAAATCAATTTTCGACGGAGAAAAAAATTTTCTGCATATTAGAAGCAATTTAAAAAAGGTAAGTCCTCATAATATTTTCCCAATAGTCAATCATTTGTTCATAAAAAAATTATGAAGAAATTAATTCCTCACAAATTCACCCGAAATTTAAAAAAGAGAAAATCCTGCGGATCGAAGATGTGAGATTAAATACTCGTTCTGTGCGAGTATTGAAAAATAATAAACCACCTGAAACTCTCAGGATCCAGGACAATAAAAGTTTTCCACAATGCAGTTATTTCACCGTATATTTATTATGACACGTTCCTTTGGTTTTACAAGAACAGAAACTGATACACGCAATTCCGGCCTTTACCCAGGCACATCTGTTAGTAGAGCATTTTTGAACCGAATGACGATAAAAACTGATTATATTTTGTTCACATGATTCATTACCGCAGAGGAAAAGCAGTTCCAGTAGATTTCGTCCGGAGATCAGTTTCCGAGAAATATCTCGGGATCTAAAAAAGATAGCAAAATTTCTCTGAGAAGCTTTTTTGTAGAGCAAGATGAGACCTTCAAAAAAGATCTGTTTGAGGAAAGGATCTGTAAATTGGGTGGATTGTGGGAGGTGTTAGAGGATAATTAAAGTAGGATGAGCCGTAAAAGAAAAAATACTGAGTTTTCTAAAGTGATAAAAAACTTAAACTGATAATTATTTAACTGCGTTGATTGACTATAGACTGAATTTATAAAACTGAATGAATGAACTGAGTTGATGTACTGAACGGAACTGTACTGATACTATACGACGTCTACAGGGGATTTGCTCGAGATAGACTCATACGGTGAGAGGCTAAGCCTAAACTGATTCGCACGTTTTTCGGTCACTTATGACTGATGACCCGAAGGGTCCTGGAGATTTTCGAAGTAGGTCGAGCTAATCGACCACAACGTTCTGGAATTTTAGTTGCGTTTCAAATACCCGGGAGCAATTCATCATCGGGGATGATGAATTAATTGTTGGGTTTTCTCTGCTGCTCTCGTTGATTTGCTTCTTCTTCTTTTGAGTGATTTTCTGGTGCTGATGATGTTCTTCGGAGAATTGTCTGCTGTTGCTGTACTGGCGTTGTTGAGGATGCCGGGGTCGTGGCTAATTCTTCAAGTTAGCCACTGAGAACTTCTAGGTGTCTTTGACGTCTTCCTGTTGAGTTGCTGTCATCCTGGTGAATTCCTTGTCGAGTTGAGGGGGGCGTAAATTCCCCCAGTTGGCGAATGCGCCGACTGTCGAGTCGAAGGAGGCGTAAATTCCTTCTATCATCGTCGAACTCGAGGCTGATAATTGCTGAGAGGAGAAACATAGGTTGAGAGAGGTATCACTTGCCAAAATAACGATAAATGGAACATGATACTTATCTCTGAATCCTGGAGCCTCTGGGGTCCCCTAGCCGGCTGTCCATGTTAATGATGTCCTGAGAATTCTCTCTAGAACTGCTGACTTTGCTGGTTGATCTTCTCTGCAGTGCTGTTGATCTTGCTGATATCTCTACGGCCTGATCATGTCGTTAATTGACATTGTTGATGAGCTGGTTGAATCACTGATGAGCACGGGTTGAAGTCATTTGTCATGACTCTTAGCTTTGTGGTAGTGCTCTCTCCTCTGTCAATGCCAGGGACATTGAATATGGCCAATGCCGGGGGCGTTGGACGTTGTGCTAATGTTCTGCTTGGAGATCGTCTGGTTGGAGATCGTCTGACTTCTTGGTGCGGTAGATACAGTGCTGGAAATTCTGATTTCCGGATTTTAACTGCGTCCTACAGTTGTGAATACCTGTGGAGGTAGCCTCTGAATGTCTTATGCGTTTGATCGCATTAAATTCTAATAATTCCTGGTCTCTGCTCTGTAGTGATGCCCTGTTACTTGCTCCCTTGAAGATTCCGATACTGCAATTAAGGTAATCTTCTTTGAATAAGTTGATTAATTGGGCCATTTTACCTCCAATTAATCTGTGTGTTGGCCAACTTCGTCATGATTTCAGGATTGACAGGTGACCCGCCATGATTGTCAATCCCTCTACTGTTGTTGATTAGACCAGTCTGTAGATAATTTGGGTCGGCTTGTTGGAGATCTTCTGAAAAACCGATCTTTACTGACTCCACACTTCATGATCTGAATGTTGATTCTTTTGAAGATGTAGTTGTTGATCTAACTGCTGATCTGAAGGTCGTGTCTCCTCTCGGTGAGCCCTTGACCTTTTGCTGATGATGGTCTCTGATAACTGTCAAATTTGTCGAACAACATATTGACTTCTCCGACTCTCCATTGTTGATGTACTGAAGTTATTGAAATGTTTAATTAGACAGCGTAGGGGTAAGTGAACCCGTGGCACTGTCTTGTTGATGTACTAAGTCTATCTTGAGGTAAATGACCTTGTCAGTTTCGGACATGGTAAGTATCTGGGCTAATTATCGACCGGTGAGTTGACTACTGATCATCGATCCGTTACCGACCGCTGAGTGTGAAATTTGTCTGCTGCTTGAACCACGTGATAGGGCGGCTCAAGTGTTGAGAAGCTACGTTGATTGTCGACTTCCGAACACACGATAGTTATACTCTGAGATCACTGAGGAGTTCACTTCTTTGTTTACACCGAATTCCTTACGGAATGTAAACAAGATTGGCCTTTCGTTCTCGTCACCGTTGATGTCCTGTCCGTTCGATGGCTCGTGTGAACCCCGAAAGTTCGTTACACACGAGGCGTCTCTTTTTATTTCACAGCACTATCACTAACACTTTTTCCACAAATCCGGCTCGAAGGATCACTGTTTGAGGAGAGGATCTGTAAATTGGGTGGATTGTGGGAGGTGTTAGAGGATAGTTAAAGTAGGATGAGCCGTGAAAGAAACAATACTGAGTTTTCTAAAGTCACAATTTATTGGTGGCCAACAGCCACCAAAGTCTGAAAATATGTACACTTTATACACGGTTGAATGTCTCAAAAAAGTTGTTAATTGATTTACTGAATTTATATTGATAATTATTTGACTGCGTTGATTGACTCTAGACTGAATTTATAAAACTGAATAAATGAACTGAGTTGATGTACTGATCGGAATTGTACTGATACTATACGACGTCTACAGGTGATTTGCTCGAGATAGACTTATACGGTGAGAGACTAAGCCTAAACTGATTCGCGCGTGTTTCGGTCACTTATGACTGATGACCCGAAGGGTCCCGGAGATTTTCGAAGTAGGCCGAGCTAGTCGACCAGAATGTTCTGGAATTTTAGTTGCGTTTCAAACAAGATCTTCACAAAAATCACGTCAGCTGCCTTAGATTCGAAGATACTCCTTGGAAACTGAGCGAGAATTCAACTCAAACCGTTTTACCTCTTCGTTACAGAACTGCAACTATCGCAATGAAAGATTTTCCGTCATTATTGAAACAAATACAGCCATAAAAATGTTAATCTGCACTGAAAGTATTGATTTGTTCAAATTTGTATGAATGAAATGCCTACACAGCGCAAATTCTGCAGGATGTTTTCTTCTCTAAATTTCGGGTGAATTTGTGAGGAATTAATTTCTTCATAATTTTTTGTATGAACAAATGGTTGACTTTAGGGAAAATATTATAAGGACTTACCTTTTTCAAATTGCTCCTAACATGCAGAAAATTTTTTTTCTCCGTCGAAAATTGATTTTTTTCTTAATTTTAACAAATTATTGAAAAATGACTAATTTACTATAAATTGAGTCCTTTCCTCCATGATTCATGATGTATCATATAAATAACTCATGCAACAACGTGAAATACGAAAAAAAAATAATAATCAAAATCATTTGTTTATGATTTTTTACTGAT